CTGCCTTCCATCTGCAGTTTTAGAGGGACGTTTCCACAGTATACTGCATGAAAATCGACGGTGCCCCTGCAGTGATAAAGAAACTGAAACATTAGACCATGTCTTTTTTCATATGTAGTTTTTACAGGGATGATTTATGGGGCTGGAGAGAGAGAGAGGAAGGGTCACAATCCTACCCTAGGGGACAGGAATCTCCAGGGAATCTCCGTTTATGTGTGTGTGTGTGAGTGTGCAGGGAATCATCCTGGTGCCTGCCTGTCTAAAATTGCCAAACTATTCAGTTTAGTCCATCCTTTGACACTCCAAATCCATGAAGTCCAGTGAAAATTAAATGTAAAAATAATATGTAGAAGCTTTTATATCCCTTTCATTTATTTGCTAAATTGCCAGGTTCACTCCTCTTTTTTTTGAACTTGTAGTCCTGTTATTGCTACATGCTTATAGGACACATGAATTTTTTAAAAATATTATTATTCAGAGTAATATCAAGAAAACCTAACCTCAGATAAATTATGATGGCAGGTGACAGCAATTGTTGTTTAGTCGTTAAGTCATGTCCAACTCTTCGTGACCCTATGGACAAGAGCACGCCAGGCCATCCTGTCTTTCACTGTCTCCCGCAGTTGCGGAAGGGGGGTCAGAATGGAGGCTGGTGGGCCGGCAACCGTGGTGGAAGAGGGGGCCTCCCAGGGCCCCCCAGAGGAGGTGGCCTGCTTGTGGGGAGGTTTGAGGGTCAGCGTGCCTGCTTTGGGCTCCATCCTTCTGGTCCTGGCCTTCTCTGGGACTTCTTGCCTTGGCCGCCTCTTCCAGAGGCCAAAGGAGCCCAAATCTCTCCTCCCACTCCCCTGCCCCCATAGAGTGAGTGAGTATGTGGGGGGGGGTGTGGGCAGCCTGGCATGGGGCGTCTCTGCAGCAGCTCCCCACAGGAGGAGGAGGAGGAGGAGGAGGAAGAGGGAGAGGGTCTTTCCTGGAGGACCAGTGAAGGCAAGACAGGGTGGGGGTGGGGGGGGGCACCTGCTTTTCTGTCAGCAGTGGCCCAAGACTCTCCCCTTGCCCTACCTCCAGAGACCCTCCTGGAGCGCAGCGGCCTGGTGTTGGCCAACAGCTGCCTCCATATCTTCCCCTTCTATTTCCCAGGAGGTGATGGGACCAGTGGCCATGATCTTAGTTTTTTTGATGTTGAGTTTCGGACCGTTTTTTGCACTCTCCTCTTTCACTCTCATTACAAGGTTCTTTAATTTCTCCTCACTTTCTGCCATCAGAGTGGTATCATCTGCATATCGGAGGTTGTTGATATTTCTTCTGGCAATCTTAATTCCGGCTTGGGTTTCTTCCAGTCCAGCCTTCCGCATGATGTATTCTGCATTTAAGTTAAATAAGCTGGGGGACAATATACAGCCTTGCCGTACTCCTTTCCCAATTTTGAACCACTCAGTTGTTCCATGACCAGTTCTAACTGTTGCTTCCTGTCCCACATATAGGTTTCTCAGGAGATGGATAAGGTGGTCAGGCACTCCGATTTCTTTAAGGACTTGCCATAGTTTGTTGTGGGCCACACAGTCAAAGGCTTTTGCGTAGTCAATGAAGCAAAAGTAGATATTTCTCTGGAACTCTCTGGCTTTCTCCATAATCCAGTGCATGTTAGCACTTTGGTCTCTAGTTCCTCTGCCAGCTTGTACTTCTGGGAGTTCTTGGTCCCCATACTGCTGAAGCCTACCTTGGAGGATTTTGAGCATAACCTTGCTAGTGTGTGAAATGAGTGCAATTGTACGGTAGTTGGAGCATTCTTTGGCACTGCCTTTCTTTGGGATTGGGATGTAGACTGATCTTTTCCAATCCTCTGGCCACTGTTGCGTTTTCCAAACTTGCTGGCATATTGAATGTAGCACCTTAACAGCGTCATCTTTCAAGATTTTAAATAGTTCCACTGGGATGCCATCACCTCCACTGGCCTTGTTGTTTGCCAGGCTTTCTAAGGCCCACTTGACTTCACTCTCCAGGATGTCTGGCTCAAGGTCAGCAACCAGATTATCTGGGTTATCTGGGACATCCAGATCTTTCTGGTACAATTCCTTCGTGTATTCTTGCCACTTCTTCTTGATGCCTTTCTGCTTCTGTGAGGTCCCTACCATTTTTGTCCTTTATCATGTCCATCTTTGCACAAAATGTTCTTTTGCTATCTCCAATTTTTGTCAACAGATCTCTGGTTCTTCCTTTTCTATTATTTTCCTCTATTTCTTTGCATTGTTCATTTAAGAAGGTCCTCTTGTCTCTCCTTGCTGTTCTTTGGAAGTCTGCATTCCATTTTGTTTCCCTTCTCTTCTCTGCTATTTGTAAGGCCTCGTTGGACAGCCACTTTGCTTTCTTGCATTTCCTTTTCTTTGGGATGGTTTTTGTTCTTGCCTCCTGTACAGTGTTACGAGCCTCCATCCATAGTTCTTCAGGCACTCTGTCTACCACATCTAGTTCCTTAAATCTGTTCCTTAAAAAAACACAGGAGAAATAGAATGGGAGAGGAAATGGGCTTTCCGAAAAGACAGCAAAGAAACTAAACTGAGCAAATATCTAAAACACGGAGGTATGCAATCCCGGACCCCCAGATATCTCTTCATTTGATTGCTGTGTTTAATGCAATGTCCACTTCGGCCTTTACCTGTCAACATAAGATCAAACAAAGAAGTAACCATTCATTCTGCTTTGGAGGTCTACCTGGATCTTTTGAGATGTGGATACAAACTGTCCAGACACTGATATACAAGATTACTAAATGAATGAATGAATGCCATTAGACCTGCTTTGTATTTCCTTCTGAAATCTTGGTGCTACATTCATCTGCCACTTGGCCATAATGAATCAGGTTTGCTTCTTTAACAAGTTTGGCAATAGGAGGAGAATCATTGCACGTTCTCTGTTATACAGTACACTGACTTTTTTTTTTAAAAAAAAAGGTGATTTATCACTTTTTTCAGGGAAAAAAGCACAGCAACACTGGAAAGAATTATATAGCTTTATTAACAGTTATGCTTTTCTTCACAGGGGAAGCATGTTTTCATTCTGTGGAGCCGTACAATAAGGGTAGTTTAACCGCACTGCCATTTGCTGACATATTGCGAGATTACAAAGTGATTATGGCGGACAATGTGCCTGAAAATCCACTGAAATACCTTTATCCAGAGATTCCAAAAGACAAAGCTTTTGGGAAGCACTACAGTTCTCGGACAAGTGAAGGTTAGATATTGTTTGGACTACCTTTTCTTGTTAGGATTCCCTTTCCCCAGTTTTTCATTAAAAACGTTGAACTGGTGAACCTGAAACAGAGACAATTTCCATGGCCAATATATTCTGTTACGTAGCTCCATCTGCACAACAAAAGTGACTTCTCTGGCAGCAGCAGATTGCTGCTAAGTAGAAAGCTTCTTTTTCAGTTTTGTGGTGCACACAACCCAGGCACAATTATGCAGAGGCATTTAGAAGTGGGAAGATGGCCAGAAGGAGAAGATTTAAGTATGTCGTTCTATTATGCTGTTGTTCTGCACCATATTGAGGGGTGTGGTGGCGCTGCGAGTTAAACCGCTGAAGCCTGTGCTGCAAGGTCAGAAGACCAGCAGTCGTAAGATGGAATCCACGCGTCGGAGTGAGCCCCCGCCTCTTGTCCTGGCTCCCGCCAACCTAGCGGTTTGAAAGCATGCAAAATGCAAAAATGCGAGTAGATACACACAAGCAGTCGGACATGACTGGACAAATTGTCAAGGGGAACCTTTACCTTTACTTTCTGCACCATAAAATAAAATAAAAATTATAGCCCTGCAAGTATGTTTTTCATAAAAAGGAAAAATCACATTGTTTTCTTTGTATGCTATGGTTAGTTCTCCTCCCACCCCCATTAATTTTTCAGCCTTTTGACAGCAATTGACACATATTACTGACAGTGGGAAAAGTTTGGAAACCATTTTGCTTCACCTTTTTTCTTTATTCATATCAAGCATTGCACAATTTAAAAATTAGAGATGTATATGAAGTACAGGTAAAATTAAAAACAAATTCAAATGTTAAAATCATTAGACTGTTTTTGACCAGAAGTAGGCTATTTTAATAGCATTATCTCAGCCATTTGCTCGATCTTCTTTTGTACATGTGGTGGGGCATAATAGTATGCATATAAGTGCTGCATTGATTGAATGCATTCACAGTCACAGAAAAGTTGTCCTGTATCCAAGTAACTCCATTTTACTTGATTTTTCTTTGATCTTCCTGCTTCACTTTGAAGTCTATTATATGATTTCAGGATGGTCAGTCTTGTCCTATTGTTTCCTTGCATCATAAAATCAATTTGTTTAATAAATACAGAGATTTCTCACATCCTTTTAAATTAAAGCCACTAAACAGAGGCTGAAATCCGGTAGTAAGCTGCAACTGGAGTCAGCCCATTGAATCAGTGGAACTTAGGAAGGAGTTGGTTCACCAAATCCCCACTGATTCAGTGGGCCTGCTCTAGTTGTAACTTACTACTGGATTTCAGCAAGCATGTGTAAAGGAAGTAGCTTAATAGGCATAGAGCAAAATGGTTGTTGACTTGCCTGGCCAAATTAGAGATGGTTTAGTGGTACAAAGAGGATGATTAACTGAGTACGGCCTTTCTGCTTTGTTACCTTAATTTGGTGTTTTCATTTTTATTTAGTTATCTTTTCTTGGACATAATATTGTTCAGGCACTGTGGAAACACAACATAACTGTTCGTTAAATAATTCTGTTGTTTTTTTAAAGCACAGGAACTTATAAAAGTTGGAAGCTGCTCTTGATCAACTAGCATTGCCTGCTGTGACCAGCAATTGTTCATGGGTCTCAGGCAAATGTGTACCTAATTTTTTAATTGCAATCAAATCTCATGTGCCATCTACCACTAACTAAGTTTCCTTCTGAGCCTATCTCATCTTCTGTCCTTGTCAAAGAACAGATATCTTACAGGATAGGCAAAATGAAGTGGCATGCCAGATCAGATTAAAAACCCCTCTGTCTTCTTGTCTCAGTGCAGTTTTAATGTACATGGAATGTTTATGTATTTTTAATTTTTATGCATATTTAGTGCCAAGGCCTGCTGAAGGAGGAACCAATGCTTATGTCCCCTCTGTATTTATTCCAGTCTCCAAAATGTGAGTCACTGTGCATTTCCCAAATTTCATTCATTGCTTTGTTTCAACACCTCAAAATGTAAGGCCAAACTCACTTAGCTGGCATCAACAGTTTATCATGTAAAGCTATTTGAATGTAAAGGACTGAGTCCCACCCTGGGGTGTGTGAAGTAATAAGGAAGAAGAAGCTCAAAGGCCCCTCTCTCTCTCTCTCCCTGACCTTTGCTGAACTGCAGTTTGCCCTGGCCTTCCAAGACTGGGGAATGGATTTTTAGGCCAGAGGATTATAGCTTTAGCTGGGGAAGAATAGGCAGATCCTGTACAGTTTTACTTCTCTGGTTCTTAGGAACATGCAGAGAGAGGAGTGCTTCCCCCTACCCTCTCCACTCACTTTCTGCACATGGAGAGCAATGTGCCTGAGGGAGAGAAGGCTACTGCTTGTGTGTAGGCTCTACAAAAGGAAAACTTGAAGCCTGGAAAACTGGCGTTCTTGATGGTATGGAGAGCCTGGACGTCAACAGGAACCACTTATTTTCAGACATGTTGCTCCGGGCATTTAGAAAATGGTGACAGAGAAGGGAGCAGTTTAGGCACTCCTCTTGAAACGTGTTACCAAGAATCAGGTAAGCAAAATTCAATCCAGCTTTTATTGTCTGGGGAATCTACAAACAATTAGAGTTATGGCTGTGTTCTATTTCTAGCCGAATGTCTAACCTGACCCATTATAAGCACAGATGCAGAACACCGCCCTGTCCATGTACAAGACGTTCAAGGCTGTAGTACTACATACAGTTACTTCAGGGTCACATTGAACTCACTAGGAATTACTTCTGAGTGGGGTTGTGCTGGAACATTGATCTCACTGAGCAAAAAGGGTGGTAGTACAGTGGACCCTCGACATACGGAATTAATCCGTATTGGAACGGTAGCCGCAGGGTGAGGGTCCATTTTCCCATAGGAATGCATTGAAAACCATTTAATATGTTCCAGCCAAAGGAAAAAAATCCTGGGCTTCCAAAGCTGCCCCCGCTGCCCTCTGTCTCCCGTCCCCTCCCGTGGCTTTGAATTTCCTGCCCTTTCCTCCTGCCTTTTATAGGTCGAAGCTCCAGCCGCAAGTCGAACCAAAATTTTGTGGCCGGAGCTTTTCGCACTTCCAAATTTTCATAAGTAGGGACCTTCATATGTCAAGGGTCCACTGTATGAACTTGGGAAGACAGTACTTCACAGTCAGGACAGCAGTGCCCGAGTGCCTTTCTGCTAAATGATATACTGAATAACAGAGCTTTCTGTCATGAAGGACCTTATTTTTTTGTGTTTTTCCTTCAGTCTGAATGACTCCACAGATCCACCTTCTCCAGCAGAACTTCTCCCCATGTCTCCAAGCGTCTATGCTGTCCTGAGAGAACATTTAAGTCCTACTGTCATGGAAACTGCCGTATGTTACAAGTTACTTTTAACCTTCTGAAGTAGCACCAAGCAAATGAGGGATAGATATGGAAGGGGTAACTAGATGGGTACTAGATGCCGGTCATTTTCTGTAAGCCCAAAGCCAAGTTTCTATCCCTGTGAATGAAACAGTGCAAACGGTGTTAGCAGCTCCTATTAGCTCATCTCAATTGCCACATTGGGGCTTCTTATTTCAATTGCCACATTTCCAATAGATATGGACTCCTTTAATATTCTTCTTCTGCATGCTGGGTTCAGGCTTTCTAGCACTCGGTGCAGAAAGTTTCATTGGTCTTTTAAAGGACTCAAGAGATTCTCTGTTGTTTTTAACTTTCAGAGTTTAAAACCTTTGTGTAGTGGGCAAATAGTAAGCATTTTTCCCTAGCCCTGGTTCATCCTGCTTTTGAGAGGAATGAGCAGTGGTGAATTCCTGAGAGCTGATGCATTGTTCTTTCCTTCTAGATGAATTCTCCATATTCGGCTGACTGACACTCGGATAGAGAAGATAATAAATACATCCTGTAAATACATTTTTAAAAAGGACTTACCTGGCAGATTGTGTTTTTTTTTCAGTGCCCTTTGGAATACATGTTTCATGAAGACACAAACACTTCTTGAGCTTAACTCTGTTTTCATAGAGTGTATGACTTAAAATTTGCCTCAGTTCAGACATAATGCTAAACCAGAACTTAGCATTACAAGAACAAGCTACTACACATTTTGGGTGCAGGAGATTGAACTGTTTGGGTGTAATCCAAGATAGAAAAAGAAGCAGAATTATTTAAGGACAGAATTATAAAGGGACAGAGGAGCAAAGGTACAACACAAAGGGGAAGGAGCAACAGACTTTACAATTAACAGATAAATCCAAATTAACACATGTTTTTATGCAACTAAGCATTCTGCAGAAACACTTCATATAAGGAAAAATATACATTTACAGTGGTGCCCCGCTTGACGATGATAATCCGTTCCAGGAAAATCGCTGTTAAGCAATATCGTCGTCAAGTGAAAAAAACCTATTGGAATGCATTGAAAACCAGCCAATGCATTCCAATAGGGAAATACCTCATTGTCCAGCGAAGACTGCCCATAGAGAACCGCCGATCAGCTGTTCGAAATTGCTGTAATGCGAAGCTTCCCTCCAGAAAGCAGCCTTTTTGAGAAGGGAGGGAAGCCATTTTGTGGAGGGAAGCCATTTTGCAGAGCCGCAAAAAACATTGTATAGTGAACAAACGGTTCGCGAAGCAGGCTCCTAAACAATGTAATACGGATTTTCCCCATAGGAACCGTCGTTTTGCGATCGCAAAAAAACTCATCGTAATGCGGATTCATCGTTAAACAGAGCACCCGTCTTGCGAGGCACCACTGTATATGTATTTGGTTTCCTTGTCCAACAGTTAAAGGGAAGGGAAGGGAAGAAAACAAGCCTAAGGCCTGATGAAAGCATAGAGCACCAGTTCTTGTAATGCAGAGCTGTGCCCGGGCTGAATTTGGTTTAGGAGCAAGATCTTTGCCTATGGAAGCACTGATCATGAGAAATCAAGAGAATAATGTCCTACGAACAAGCTAGGCACAAATTAGCTGCAGCTAACATTCTGAATCTAATCTTTGCTCTAATTTGCTTTATACAGACATCATTTAGTAACGGCAGAACCAGGTTTGCCAAAATCCTTTTTTACTTTGCAAAACATAAAAGTTAACACTTCATTAATTCATAAGGAATTTTGCTCAGGCAGTCTACATGTTGGACTGGGTAACTAATTGTGGAGTTGATTGCACAACTAGTTTTGTAACAGTACCTGCAGAAGTGCTTGCTGTACATGACTTCTGCTGTGGTGCAAATGTCACAGTGGTGTGTACAGCTTTGAGTTACACAGGGATAGCTATGTAACAGGATTTTGGCTGCTACGGACAATCCATGGTTAGATCTGCAAGTAAATAACTATTGGAGAGACATGGTTCAGGCAGATTTTTGTATTTGAAAAATCAGAATTCAAAGGAATCCAGTGTGCTAAGTCTCAAAGAACGATCATGAAACAATGTAAACTAATTTTTCAAATTAACTGGGGCAAGAAAAGGTCTTGCTGTGCACTCAGACACTTTTAGCATTTAAGGAATTCCCCTCTCCTAATGGTGGATTATAACATTGCATCTGCCCTCAGTGATGGTAGAACTTCCTCTGTGCTTTGCAAACTTCCCTTTTTTCAAAAGCTCTTGTCAATTCTGAATTGTTATAAAAACTTTGACAGGTATTCCTCTGTGTGTGTGTGTGGGGGGTATAATAGAAGACTTTAAATTAAAGATTAAAATTTGTGGTTGATAAGTTCATCGGCCATAGCTCAACCAACAGGATTCTGGCCCAAATCTCCCAAATTTCATATTCATAAAATAGTAAAACTGTTCACATGTCTATGGCTGCAATCAGACTGAGGATCTAACTCACTGCTTATTACTCTGTCCTTTCTATGAAAATCCCAGAGAAAGATTTTTGTCTGCCATTATTGAGCTGTATCCCAACTGTACTTCAATGGAAATAATAGTAAGACCACTCACTGATACACAGCTGTATAATATGTACTCTGTTGCACAATTTGCTCTGGCAGCTAAGAAGTTGAGGCTTCGATTTGGTTCATAATACTACATAAATGTTGAATATAGTGACTTTGATATTGTACACTATGCCACCATTTTGACCTTTGAGGCATCCTTTTGTTTTAACCATTTTTATGTAAGTCTGCCTTTGCAAAGGCCTATGGCCAGAAACAATAAAGGTAAAGACAAATGCCAGAATTTTGTTGGCAGAGCTGCACGGCCAGAACCTTAATATTTAATATAAAGTTTTCTATCCTGCCACTACCCTCAGGTTCTGAGGCGCCACAGGGGTCTCTTTTGACCTGGGGAACCCTTGAGGAGCCTCAAGACAAGGGCGGGCGGGCAGTCTTTTGCGTTTGAATACCACAATCTTCAATCATAATAATGTTTTCAGACATTAAAGGCTCTCCTCCTTATCCTGAGACTGCCAAAGGCTTCACCAGGTCGAAACGGATCCCTGCCAGAGGCTCAGAACCTGAGTGTGGGCAGGAGGATAGGAAATGTTGAAGATTAAAGCCTGTGACTGATGAGATCTTGTATAAACTAGAACTGGGGTTGGAGCCTTCAAGAGAGTAGGGAGGGGGAGCACAAACATGAGACATGGCTACCAAAGCAACCCCGTTTTGCTTCCCATCCGAATAACCTGGAATTCAGCATCTGGTTAGTACCACAGACTACCGGATGCGGTCAAATCATACTAAGTATATTTGATTTCCTGTACAGAAGCAAGTACACTGGTAGGTCATCAAAACACTGGCTTTTGTCTTATAAAACATTACACCCACCCTGAGTTACTTTCAGGCGTAACAATAATAGTGGGTTCTCACACAATTAGCTGTTAGATCTAGTTTATCATAGCCATGGAACAAAGCTATAATTCTTGAACTGTACAGGCTTCCTAGTCCTAAACAGTTTGAAGGAGGGGTTGGGAATATTTGTTTTTTTAAAAAGCATGTGATGAAGTGAATTTCAGTCTGTGAATAATAATTATGTGTCATCAATCAAATCAATTCCGATGTATGATGGCCCTTTCCAGGGTTTTCTGTATACAATAGTGCCTTGACTTACGAACTTAATTGGTTCTGGAACTCCAATCGTAACTTGAAATGGTTGTAAGTCAAGGAATGCATTGAAATGCAATTAATCTGTTCTGGCCGAAGAAAAAAAATCACACCCCCCCAAAAAAAACCCGCAAGACCCATCAGAAACATGATTAATCCATTCCAGCCGAAGGAAAAGAAAAAAAGAAAAACAAACCGTGCAAGACCCTTCGGAAATGCAAAAAAAGCAAAGCAGAAAGCAAACAAACCGTGCAGGACCCATAAGAAATGCAAAAAAGCAAAGAAAAAGCAAACAAACCCTGCAAGACCCATCGGAAATGGGGGGGAAAGCAAACAAACCCTGCAGGACCCATCGGAAATGGGGGGAACCCAAAAGCAAACCAACCACGCAAGACCCATCGGAAATAGGAAAAAGCACACAGACAAAAAAACCCTGCAAGACCCATCACAGCATAGAAGCATAATCTCACCGCCCAGCCCAAAACCATACTGCAAAACCCACCCAGAACAGTTTTTTAAAAGTAGAAAGCAGCATCTTGTTTTACTGAAGCCTCCTCCGATCACACACTCTCTAACCGCTGGGGTGAAAGAGCTAAAAAGAAGCAGACTCTTCACCATTGGTTTGCAATTTGAATTACCTGCCTTCTTTTTGGTTGTAACTCGAAGATCCAGCTGCAAGTCGAAGCAAAATTTTGCAGCCGGATCTGGTCGTATGTCGGGATGTTCGTAAGTCAAGGCACCACTGTATAGTAATAAGAAATCATTTATTGGGAGTGGGGCTTGGCCACAGCTACCCAGGGTGGCTGTTCTCCTGGAAAGCAAGACGAAGAATGAAACTCCTCTAACTTCTGGCTCTGCAGCCAGATACCTAAACCACTGAGCTATCCAGCCAGCTGTAGTCCATCAGCTTATGGCCAATGAATCTTGTCAAGTCTTCAGGGGTAGGTTCAGCCCCCTTCTGCAAATGAAATGCCAGATGCACAAAAACAAGGTTCGGTCCAATCTGAGAAACTACCAGGAACAAGAACATTTCTCACAGACTGGGCTCTGTTAACAGGAAACTGGTAATGGCAGAATAACACCAAAAGGTGGAATTTAATAAACGTGTACATTAACGACTATCCTTAAAACAGTAACGTTTTGATCAAGTTGTGCTTTTTTATTAAATAGACAAAAATGTTTTTAGGAGACCTAAAGAGACGTATTTATTCCTTTTAATGCATTTCTTGCTCAGGCAGTATATTATAAAATGACTGTTGTTCTGTCCCTTTCTTGCACTGCTGTTTTAATGATTTAATTCATTGATACAGTGTTTGTTTATATTTCATTATTGTTACTGCATTTTTATCGTTTACCTGGAAGCTGCATTTGAACCATTTTGAAGTGTACTTTTTTAAAAAAAGGATTAGACCATAATAAAATACACCACCACACTTTGATTGTTTAATAGGTATATATGCAATGGCTTGAATCGAGGGGGTAGCTTCTCTGTAAACAGAACTCCTTTCCGTGGATGGTGCCACGATGCATGAAGTGTACTCTTAATGAGGCACAAGGAGAGGAGGAACTTTTCAATGACTTCAGAGTTGTTTCATGCTAGCTTATATAAGGTTTGTGCCACATGTGGTCATAGAGGTATTTCTGTGGTCCCCCCAACCTCCCCTGCAAATTTATAAAATTTTGCTCAGAAAATCTGTTTATAACCTCTAAGAAGTATTTGTGTGGAGTTCAATGAGCCCCATGGCAGAGTGGTTGAACTGCAATACTGCAGTCAAGCCTCTGCTCACAACCTGAGTTGGATCCTGACGGATTCATGTAGCTGGCTCAAGGTTGACGCCGCCTTCCATCTTTCTGAGGTCGGTAAAACGAGTACCCAGCTTGTTTTGA